TAGAAGAGACAGGGTTTCTCTATGTTGGCCTCAAACTCCCAACCTCAGGTGATCCTCCCACCTCAGCTTCCCAAAGTGCTGGAATTATAGGCATGAGCCACCGTGCCCAGCCATAGCTGTGATTTCAAACAATATGATGCCACTTGATCGCTCATTTACTTTCTTATCAGACATGGCTCCCAGTGACTCTTGGCCATTTCCAAAATATCAGATATAGTCTCAAAGGATGAAATTCTGCCTCCATCAAGGTTAATCAGATGCTTCTCTTACTGCCTCAGGCAGCCCCATAAGAAGAATTTGGAGAATGACTCAGCTGTGGCAGGTGAAGGAATGAGCCCATAACTCCCTGACGCGACTATGTGGAGGGCCAGCAGGCATTTGGACATGTAAGTTCTGAGCTTTGTTTTTTTAAACAGTCACTGCTTTATAGCCACACTTAGCATGGAGGAATGCAATCCCATGGCTGGAGGAAATCCAATGGACTCACCAACACCAGGTGAGGGCAGAGGTTGAGACTAGCACGGGCTTTTCTGGAAAATGGTCACTCTGGGTACAGGCCCAAATTGGAGACTGGACTGAGGCTGTGCATGAATCTTCTTAGCCACCTGCTTCCCCTGGGAACAGGGGCTTCCTGTCTTCACCTCCTGTCTTCACCTCCGTCACTGAAACAGGAAGAGGTGAGGTGGTGACCTCACCATGTGTGTACGTGGTGGCTGAAGTGAGACATCAGGAATTCCACACACCCTCCTGGGGTCCGGTGTGACTGGGTTCTCTGGTTCTCTGTCTCCCGACTTTCCCTTCCAGAAGCATCTGCTCATCTCCCCCTCTAGGTCTTCAGTCCCTTGGTTTGTGTCAGGTGGGCCATGGAGGAGGCGCAGCAGAAGAGGCAACAGTTGGAGGAAGGGAGAGGGGCAGAAGACAGAGAGGGATAAAGGAGGCAGTGGAGACAGAAGTGTAGGTAGGAGTTAGTACAGGAGTAGGAAACAGGAAAAACACCCCAATGTTCACAACCCTTCCCGCCCACAGCTGAGCATGCCAACTCCCAGGGGCCATGTCAGAAGGGGAGAGCAAGGACAGCTCAGGCAGTGAGTGCCCCGTGTGCTACGAGAAGTTCCAGGACCTGGAGGGCGCAAGCCGGACGTTGAGCTGTGGCCATGTGTTCTGCCATGACTGCCTGGTCAAGTACCTGCTGTCCACCCGCGTGGATGGGCAGGTCCAGAGGATCCTGGTCTGCCCTATCTGCCGCTACGTCACCTTCCTCAGCAAGAAGAGCTCCCGCTGGCCCTCCATGCTGGACAAGAGCTCCCAGACCCTGACTGTGCCAGTGGGCCTGCCCTCCGTACCCCCGCTGGACAGCCTGGGCCACACAAACCCTCTGGCTGCCTCCTCATCTGCCTGGAGGCCACCCCACGGCCAGGCCAGGCCACCAGGCAGCCCGGGCCAGAGTGCCCAGCTCCCCCTGGACCTGCTGCCCAGCTTGCCCCGGGAGTCACAGGTCTTCGTCATCAGCCGCCACGGGATGCCCCTGGGGGAGCAGGACAGCGTGCTGCCCCGCCGCAGCCTGGCGGAGCTCTCAGAGGCCTCCCCCGCACCCCGCTCTGCCCGCGCCTTCTGCTGCCGATCACGGGCCCTGCTGCTCATCACACTCATCGCCGTGGTGGCTGTGGTGGCCGCCATCCTGCCCTGGGTGCTTCTGGTCAGGAAGCAGGCGTGAGCCACACCGCAGGGAGGCCATCAGGCTGGCTGTGGCCTGGGAGGGGGCAAGAGGCCCCACGGCAGCCCTGGTGCCACCAAGCTCCGAGGGACACATGGGCAGACAGAAGGGAGGACCTGGGCACAGAGAGGGCCTTGGGCTTCCCCAACCCCCGCTGGGGCTTCAGCTGGACAGGGAGGCTGGAGCTGACTCTGCACACATGTGTTCCCCACATGAATCCTTAGCAGATATGTTCCCCTTCCTCTAGGCTGGGAAGATGGGAGGTCACTGCTCTCCTGCGGGCTCACCAGCCCTGAGCGGCAGACCTTACCTGCCAGGTGACCTGCCCAAAGCCATGTGGGCCCCTCCAGGTACAAGGAAGTCCTGCTGGCAGACGTCCTGCTGGGCAGGCCGATGGCAGGATCCTCCAGGCCAGAATTACCACCCAGGATTCTGTGGCTTACCCTCGGAAACAGACAGAAGCAGAGCCCAGAATCTCAGCATTCATCCTCAACCTCCACCACACTCCATCCCCAAGCCCTCCCTGTCCCCACCCTGCCAGCTTAGAAGGCCTTCCCCGAGGGAGAAGCTGATCTCAGAGGCTGCCCCAGAATTTCTGGGAGAATCATCAAAAACTTCCTGGAGAGCTGAGGCCACATGCAGAGCCAGGGGTTTGCTGTCAGAGGTCATGCCAGCAGAGTGGACCACAAACAGGGCCAGAGGTCTCCCTGAACCTTCCAGGCCCAAGGAGGGATCCAAACTTTGAGTCCTGGGGTTCTCAAGGGTGGCAGGAAGTGGAGGGGAAGCCTGACAGTCGAGCCTTGACTCAGCTGAGAACCATGTGAGGAAATGAACCCCTGGGGCCCCCCCTCCCTCCCAACTCATCCTCCTCCTCATGACCCAGCCACTCATTTAGAGGCCACACCAGATGGGCCAGTTTCCGAGGTGGACTGCCAGGCTGGACTGGGTGAGGAAGGCTGGGGAGGAAAACAGCTGTGCTTGTCACGGACGCTGCCATCTCAACCAAGGAATGCTGAGGCCCAGGTGCTATCCGCTGCTCCCCAAGGTTTCTTTGCCAGGGCCCCCAGGTTGGACTGTGAAGAGCCTCAGGTTGGGTCTAGCCTGAGTCATTTGGGGATAGCTATAGGCTGTTTATTGAGGTCCATAAGTCAACTAACACCTTACAATGGAGAACAACAAAAGCCTCCAGCAATTTCCAATAAGTAGTGGTCTGCACCCAGGTGTGCGGGTTATAGGTTGGGGGGAGCCCCCAACCTATAACCCTCTCGGCAATTTGCTGTCTGTGGGGGAAGAAACAGCACTCTACGTTTTATCTAGTTCCTAAATGCCTGCTGTGGTGGTCATTTGGGGACCACTGGGGAATTGGGCCCCCCATAGGGGATATTTGGGACATAGAGAGGGCTGCTTTAAAGCACTCATGGGTTTCTCTGTGCCCATTCCAAAATTACAGAAGAGCCAGGTGCAGTGGCTCATGCCTGTAATCCCAACACTTTGGGAGGTGGAGGCAGGTGGATCACCTCAGGTCAGGGGTTCGAGACCAGCCTGGCCAACATGGTGAAACCCCGTCTCTACTAAAAGTTTTAAAAATTAGCTGGGCGTGGTGGCACGCGCCTGTAATCCCAGCTACTCGGGAGGCTGAGGAAGGAGAATTGCTTGAACCTGGGTGGCAGAGGTTGCGACGAGCCAAGATCGCGCCATTGTACTCCAGCCTGGGTGACAGAGTAAAACTCCATCTCAAAAATAGAAATTAAAAAGATTACAGAAGAGCACAGGTGCTATTGGGGGGGGGTGCGGGGAGGGATGCAGATGAATTCCATGGAGAAATATTTATTATATGAATAAAACTAATGTTAAATGTGCAGACTCCAGTGAGTCTCTCCACCTCAGCCAGGATGTTTTCAACAGTGTCATGAATTTCTGGGAACCAGATTCTGGTCTTTCCAGATTTTGTCGTGTTTGCCAAAAGTTTCTTTCAAAATACCCTCAGTTTTCATATTGTTTAGTGGTGACCTGTAGCTGGAACTTCTTTTCAGAGAATGCCAAAAGCTATTTTTTAAATAAAGGTATATATTTTCTCAAACATTACAGAGACTTTGCCATGTATGCGGGAAGCTCTGAGCCTGGACTTGAAGGACAATTCACTTTAGATGAAAAAGTTTGAAATACAAATACAAATGGCTCTTACACACCTATTCAACCACACTTGAGAAAGACATTAAAATTAAAATTAATTAAAATTCTGCTGGTATGCCGTTTTTCACCTATGCTACTGAAGCTGAGGGAGGCAGGGGAATGGTTAGTGGGAATGCGTATTGGTAAAATCCCTATCAAGGGAAATCTGACATTATCTATGAAAATTCCTGCTTTGATCCAGCAATTTCTGTTCTAGAAACATTCTACAGGTATACTTGCTGTATGGGCAGCAGCATACATATGATGCTATATAATCGCAGTGTCGTTTATAACAACAAAGGATTGAAGAAACCGTAAATGTTAATCAATAGGGTACTGGTCATTTATCTTAAGGTCCAGGGCACATCATGCAGCTGTTAANAAAAAAAAAAAAAAAAAAAAAAAAAAAAAAAAAAAAAAAAAAAAAAAAAAAAAAAAAAAAAAAAAAAAAAAAAAAAAAAAAAAAAAAAAAATGGAGCAAGAAAGGACTCAATGAAATTATACAGAATGTCTCCAAGGTACAATGGAAAATGACAAAAAGCAAGGTGTGGAAAACTGAATACTGGATACTATGATTTGTGTAGAAAGAGCGAGGAATAGGCCAGGCGCGGGGGCTCATGCCTGTAATCCCAGCACTTTTGGGAGGCTGAGGCGGGCGGGTCATCTGAGGTCAGGAGTTCAAGAGCAGCCTGGCCAACATGGTGAAACCCTGACTCTACTAAAAATACAAAAATTAGCCAGGCGTAGTGGCACGAGCCTGTAATCCCAGCTACTAGGGAGGCCAAGGCAGGAGAATTGCTTGAACCCAGGAGACAGAGGTTGCAGTAAGCTGAGATCACACCGCTGCCCTCCAGCCTGGGCGACAGAGCGAAACTCCGTCTAAAAAAAAAGAAAAAGAAAGAAAGTGGGGGAGGATAAGAATTTACATTCCTATTTGCTTACCTATGCATCAAAAAATCGGGAATGCCGGGCACAGTAGTTCATGCCTGTAATCCCAGCTCTTTGGGAGGCCAAGGTGGGAGGATCAATTGAGGCCAGGAGTTCAAGACCAGCTTGGGCAACACAGCGAGAACTTATCTCTATAAAATTTTTTTTTTTAGTAACATGGTAAAACCCCGTCTCTACTAAAAATACAAAAATTAGCAGGGTGTGGTGGCATGTGTCTGTAATCCCAGCTACTCAGGAGGCTGAGGAGAATCACTTGAACCCAGGAGGCTGCAGTGGGCTGTGATTGTGCCAATGTACTCCAGCCTGAGCAACAGAATGAGATACTGATGAGAGAAAGAAAAGGAAAAGAGAAGGGAGGGAAGGAGGAAGAAAATTGGGAAGATATACAAAAAACGAGTAACTGACTAACCATGGAAAAGGATAAGAAAATGATGGAATGGGAAGGAGAGTTTTCACTTTACCTTTTATACCTTTTCATGTTTTAACCAAGTAAAGATATCATTCAAAAACTGAACTGAAAAATTATTAGAAGCTAAAGATATCTTCAGTGTACACACCTGCTGCGTGGTGAGGCTGCCCCAAGAACATTCAAGGGCTGCCAAACCGCCTGTCCTGTGGTTTGAGTGTCAGCTACTGGCTGATGGGGCTGGTTTGTCTGGTTAGAGGTGTGACATCTTATGCTTACCAGGTGCCCAAGGAGTAAGGTTTAAAGGTCGAATGTTCTCGGTGTCTCTGAGTCCCTGCGCATTTCTCTGGGCACTGTCATTGAATGTGCTTGTCTTGATTCCCCCTTTTCTTTTTTTCTGTTTTGTTTTCAAATAAAAGCTTTGGTTTTAAGCAACCACTGAGGGGTCACGGCACTACAGGACAATACCATTAGGCAGATAGATATAGATAAATGATAGACAGATACATAGACAGACAGAGGGATGGATGCCTGGGGTTAAACTCTGTTGCTCTTCTCTTCCTCCCCTTATCTAGAGGCACCCCAACCCCTGCAAAACAAACACAGGCACACACACACACACACACACACACACACACACACACAGTGCCACTTCCCATCACCACAATAACTTTTTTTTTTTTTTTTGAGATGGAGTCTCGCTCTGTTGCCCAGGCTGGAGTGCAATGGCATTATCTCTGCTCACTGCAACCTCCGACTCCCGGGTTCAAGCAATTCTCCTGCCTCAGCCTCCTGAGTAGCTGGGATTACAGGCATGCGCCACCACATCCTGCTAATTTTTGTAGTTTTAGTAGAGACGCGTTTCACCATGTTAGTCAGGCTGGTCTTGAACTCCTGACCTCGTGATCCTCCTGCCTCAGCCTCCCAAAGTGCTGGGATTACAGGCATGACCCACTGTGCCCAGCCTCACAATTGTAATACACACTTGCACAGTCTGAGTCTACCAGGCAAGCTTAAGGATCCATAGCATTGCCAGTGGGGCCTTGGGGAGGGTTGCCAGGAACCTGGGTGGGCATATTAGAGACCTCTGTGCCCCTCTGAAAGAGTTCCATGACCTCTCCCCTCACTGAACCCTGTGTGACTCACAAGATCACTCAGCTGTTATCTCTTTTTGACCTCCTTGTCAGTATACATGTCCTTTTTGGGGCCAAAGATTTCGTTTTGAGACTCAGTATTGAACAAAAAGAGAAAGGAAGGCAGTGCTGGGAGGGTAGGGTGGCAGCACAGGATACAGGAGCTGGGGAAACAGAGAGGGCCTCGGTGGGGAGAGAGGAAAATGATGGGGACACCCCAACAGGAGGGTAGTTGGGAAACTAGGAAGGACACTAGGAAGAAAGAGGAGTGACACTGGGAAGGCCAGAAAGGCAGGCAAGGTAGGAAGGCAGGCACCTCCGGCAACTCCCTGCGACTTCCAGCACCCAAATCACACTCAGCTCAGCCCCAGAGCCCCTGGGCGCCCCTCTGAATGCCTCTCTTCAGCCTAAGGAGCTGGTTCCTGGAAAACACCAGTCGCTGCCTCACACCTCCAGGCCTTCCTCCAAGCAATTCCCACTGCCTCATGGAGCAAATGTTAACATTCTTCCAATTCCAGTCGATGCTGACCTCACCCTGGAAGTTTTCCCTGGCTCCAGAGCTCCCTTCCGCTCCCGAATCACAGAAGCACCAAGAGCAGCTGGCTCAGCGAGCACGTTTCCTGTGGCCTCGTGGCTGTTGATTCCCTGTCTGTCTCTCTCTCTCTCTTTTTTTTTTTAGGCAGTCTCCCTCTGTTGTCACCCAGGCTGGAGTGCAGTGGCGCAATCTTGGCTCACTGAAATCTCCGCCTCCCTGGTTCAAGAGATTCTCCTGCCTCAACCTCCTGAGTAGCTGGGATTACAGATGCGTGCCACCATGCCTGGCTAATTTTTTGGTATTTTTAGTAGAGATGGGGTTCCACTGTGTTAGCCAGGATGGTCTCGAGCTCCTGGCCTTGTGATCTGCCCGCCTCAGCCTCCCAAAGTGCTGGGATTACAGGCGTGAGCCATCAAACCCAACTGTCTATCTCTCCTTTTAGACAGTAAACTTCCTGCAGGCACAAACTTTGACCTATTTTGCACCTCCAGTGTCTAGTTTCAGGGCTGGCCCATTAAAGATGCCTCGTAAAAAAAACAGAAAAAAACAAAAAGATGCCTCGTAAATATGTGTTGAAAAGGGTCGCAGCAGAGGAATTCTTGCTGAAATTTTCAGTTATGAATAAAATCTAGGGCTACTTCCTTCACAGCATATTTAAGAACTTCTAAATCATGAAAACACATGTTCTTTGCTTTCTAAATCATGAAAACACATGTTCTTTGCTTTCCCTCCTCTGGGCCGTCCTGGGAACCAGCTATGGTTCCCCCAAGCTGGGGCCATCTACAGTGCCCAGAAGAGTCCAGGGAGCCAGCTTGCAAGGATTCCACTGTGACTTATGGGTTCTGTATAACCTGGCACCAAGTTCCTCTCCTTTCTCTGTGGCTCACTTGCCCCATCTGTAAATTGGGGACAATACCAGCAACAACAGGGCCATTTTGTGGATTAAAAGAATTCATGAGGTAAAGTGTAAAGAAGAGCGTTCCCACACCCAACAGGCTCACTACATTTTCGGTATTCTTGTGAAACGTGTGTCCTCCGTCACTGTGACACTCGTGTCATTCATTCAGCAGAAGCCGTTCAGCACTGGGGCACAACACTGCCCAGCCTCAGAAACCATTTGCAGGGACCAGGCGCGGTGGCTCACACCTGTAATCCCAGCACTTTGGGAGGCCGAGGCGGGCGGATCGCAAGGTCAGGAGCTCGAGACCAGCCTGACTAACATGGTGAAACCCCGTCTCTACTAGAACTACAAAAATTAGCCAGGTGTGATTGTGCACGCCTGTAATCCCAGCTACTCGGGAGGCTGAGACAGGATAGTCGCTTGAACCCGGGAGGTGGAGGTTGAGTGAGCCGAGATGGTGCCAGTGCTCTCCAGCCTGGGCGACAGAGCAAGAGTCTGTCTCAAAAAGAAAAAGAGGCCGGGCTCGGTGGCTCATGTCTGCCATCCCAATACTTTGGGAAGCAGAAGCGGGCGGATCAGAAGGTCAGGAGTTCAAGACCAGCCTGGCCAATATGGTGAAACCCCGTCTCTACTAAAAATACCAAAAAAAAGAAAAAAAAAAAAAAATAGCTGGGCCTGGTGGCGCGCGCCTGTAGTCCCAGCTACTGGGGAGGCTGAGGCAGGAGAATCGCTTGAACCTGGGAGGCGGAAGTTGCAGTGAGCCGAGACCGCGTCATTGCACTCCAGCCTGGCGACAGAGCTAGACTCAGTCTCGGGAAAAAGAAAAGAAAAGAAAGAAAGGTGGAAGAAAAAAAAAAAAAAAAAACATTTACAGGGAACGCATGGCTTCCCCGCTGCCGTCTGATCCTGAACTGGAAGCGAACAGGCCGAACATTCAGAAACCCGCCCAGCTCCCGACACCGAGAGGCTTCTTCCCGCCCGGCTCCTTCAAAGCGGGGTCTGGACCAGCACCTCCCACAGCACTGGGAGAGCCTTAGAAACGCGGCCTCGGACCTATTTCCGCTGAAGCAGGGGACGATCGGTGTCCCCGGTCCTCGCAAGGCCCCCTGCCACCCAGAACCGAATCTCGGGCGGGCCCCGCGGTGCGGTCAGCAGACGCCGAGGTGCAGGGGCGGTGGCCGGCGTCGCGCTGGGGCTCGTTAAAGGACCGGCACGCTGGCCGCGCCCACGCCACGGGCGGGCGGGGACGGCGAGTGCAGGGACCCAGGCGACCGGCCGGCCGGCGTCCCAGCGCCTCCTGGCTGCCCAAAGCAGGGACTGCCCTTCCCTGGCTAAGGGCACGCCGGCCCCCCCGGCACCTGGGCGTGAAGGTACCAGGAGGTCTCCTGGGGCTGCTCGCTCCTTCATCACCCCCAGGGACAGCCGGATCCTGAGCATCCTTCGCCACTTGCTCGGGGACTACCTTTCCCAAAGGATTCCGCGGCAGCACCCGGGTCTCCGAAGGGAGACACTAAGACCCGAAGGAGGGATTTTGCAGTCCCTCGCAGTTCCCCTCCTAGCCAGTAGGTGGCACAAGCCATACATTTATTTCCCAGTTTACTCCTCCCGCTCAAACTCCGCACCCCTCTTGCTCCAAGAGACATAGATCTCGCGACATCTTTTGTAAACTTACAGAACCGGAAGCAGCGTGTAATTCTCTTCCCTTTTGCGGCCATCGCCCAAGCGGGAGCTGGTAAGCAGTCGGCGGGCAAGCGGGTGTAATCCACAGCCATCCATTCTTGGGCAAGGTGGCTTCCGACCTCGGGGACCCCGAGACTCTCCCGTCGGCCAAGTAGCAGCCAGGAGGGGAGGCTGGGATGGTTTTTTTTTTTTTACTTGTTTTCCCTTTAAATCAAGGACCTCGGGCCGGAGAGTGATGGAGGACCAGGGAACTGGGGACTCGAAAACGAGCTGAGGGGAGGGAGTCTGTGGAAAGAGAGTCTAGTCTGGGTAGTGTCGTTTCCTAAAAAATGATCGCGAAGTAATTTCTCGGAACTTTCAGACCACACTTGCCCCCTGGGAGGCTTTTAGGACCCGAGACTTGTGCAGGATTTTCCAGGTTCGGGATGGAGAGCCTTATTCATTTTGGAGAGGCTGTATATATTCACGCTCAAGCCCATAGAGGATGAACGTTGATTGTGTCTTCTAAAACGTGACGTTATAATTTAAGAGAACTGCGTTGTCGGTCTCCTCTGCCGTAATTCAGCAGAGATGTAAGTCCAGTGTTGATTCTCTCAGGTGCTGCTGAAGGAGTTGGGAGTGTGTAACTGAAAGGTCTTAAAACTAAGACAAGTGTTTTTGATGCAAAAGTCTTTATCCTATAAACATATTCGGAAAACATCCGAATAAAAAAAATACAAGGTTTCGAGCTTCGGGTGATAGGCCCTTCCGATCAAGCAGTTTTTTATGAAGTTTCACAACATGACAGTTCCTGTGAGCATTCTACACTATCAAGATGCACTGCGGTTATTTGTTTGGAAGCTGGATGAGATCTTGGTCATTAAGAGTCTGTTTAACTTTTTATTTAGCCAAAATGAAGTTCAATCCCTTTGTGACTTCCGACCGAAGCAAGAATCGCAAAAGGCATTTCAATGCACCTTCCCACATTCGCAGGAAGATTATGTCCTCCCCACTTTCCAAAGAGCTGAGACAGAAGTACAACGTGCGATCCATGCCCATCCGAAAGGATGATGAAGTTCAGGTGTGTATCCCTACTCGTTCTCGTTGTTTTGATGGATATTACACGCACTTGGTTTAGCAGAGGGATTGCATTCTGAGACTCTTGCTCCCAGAGAGTGGCAAGGTGAGTCGATCTAGGGACCAAAAAAAACAATAAGTAAGCTGCTTTTCAGTTTTTAATTTTGATGACAATCAATTTTCTTTTTGTTGTTGTTTTTTGTTTTTTAAGACAGGGTCTCAGTCTTACCCAGACTGGGGTGCATTTGCCCAATCATGACCTACTGCAAACATGGCTCACTCCTGAGCTCAAGTGATGCTCAGAGATGGGACCTTTTTTTGTTTTGTACACAGGGATGTCATTTTATTGCCCGGGTTGGTCTCCAGCTCCTGGGGATCCTGCCCGAAAATCAGTTTTCCCAAATGTCAGATGATGTGGCAATAATTAGATGACAGATGGACAGATAATCAGAGCATTGCTTTGGGATTATCCTTTTCTCAATATGTTGTAACTGCCCACCAAGCTCATTGTGCCTGCTGTCCAGATGTAGCTGATTTATGTAGACGTGAATTGTAATAAAGAGTTTAATTCCTGCAGAGCCAGAATGGGAGACTGGAGTTTATTACTCAAATCGGTCTCCCGGAAAATTTGGGGACTGGAGTTTTTTAAGGATAATTTGGCAGGTGGGAGGCTATGGAGTGGTGGGGAGTGCTGATTGGTCACATCAGAGATGAAGGCATGGGGAGTTGACGCTGTCTTGGTTTGAGTTGGTCCACAAGATCAGTTTATTGATCTGGGTGGCACCAGCAGATCCATCAGTGCGGAGTCTGAAAAAAATAGCATACCAATCTTAAGCTTTACAGTAGTGATGTTATCCCTAGGAACAACTGGGGAGGTTTAGAATCTTTTGGCTTCTAGTTGCCTAAACCATAATTTATAGTGCAGCTAATTTTTTAGTCCTACAAAGGAAATCTGGTCCCTAGGCAAGAAGGGAGTTTGTTTCAAGAAAGGACTGTACCATCTTTGTTTCAAAGTTAAACTACGTAAGTTCCTCGCAAAGTTTGGCCTATGCCTAAGAATGAACAAGGACAGCTTGGAGGTTAGAAGCAAGATGGAGTTAGTTAGGTCAGATCTCTTTAACTGTTGTAATTTTCTCACTTAGAATTTTTGCAAAGGTGGTTTCAATGTTTTGATCATTGAAGACGCAGTTGAGGACCAGTAAACAGAATTGCTCCAAATCTAGATTCAGGAGTTCTAACTGAATAGTGTCACATGATTGTGCTTACAGGTAAATAATTTGTTGGATCTATTTAGGTGAAGGTTTCTATAAATGATCCTTAAGTGTAATCTGTAGTGCAGCTAGTGATTAAAGAATTTAGGCAGTCTCTAGAGCCACTTACACCTCATCAATATTTTTTCATGCCTATTTAAGATGAAATGGGTTCCCAAATAAGGAGCAGTGTGGGTAGAGAACAGCTGTTGGTCCCTGCTGTAGTAGTGCTGAACTTGCTCTGTTTTCAGTACATATCAGTGCAAGAAAGTCACAAACTGGAAAGAAGAGTCTGTTCAGAAACACTTGTCCTGACAAGCTGGGGACCACTAGGATTCCTGTCAGTTAACCTTTGGGAAAGAATTGGTTTGTCCCCTTAAGGATTTATTGCTGTCCTCTGAAAGACACACAAATGGGCTCTGACGTAAATACTCTTGGTCTGTTGCTGCTTTTGAGATGGAGTAACAAGTTCCTTGTTGTTGCCCTCTTACACCCAAAGTGGGCCCTTTTAACATAATGATAGGGTGAATGATGTATGCATAAGTTCACTTTCATGATCTACAAAGTTAATCTTTTATTCAAATATTTGTTACTTTTGAATTCTTGCACTTAGGTTGTACGAGGACACTATAAAGGTCAGCAGATTGGCAAAGTAGTCCAGGTGTACAGGAAGAAATACGTAATCTACATTGAACGGGTGCAGCGGGAAAAGGCTAATGGCACAACTGTCCATGTAGGCATTCACCCCAGCAAGGTAGGTGTTTTTCAGGATGCTGGAGGAGAGGAAATTATGGCAATTATTGTTGACACGTTATGGTTTACAGAGCATGCCCATAGAAATATTCCTTGATTTTAGATGTGCTAGGAAAAATGTCTTAAATACTACTGCACTTGTATTGAAAATTCTATTATCATTTAAAATGTTTCTGAAATCAAAGTGTCTTTGTCATTATGTATATCTTTTTTTTTCTTCTTTTTCTCTTTTGAGACAGAGTCTCACTTTGTCACCCAGGGTGGAGTGCAATGGCGCGATCTCAGCTCACTGCAACCTCTGCCTCCTGGGTTCAAGCGATTCTCCTGCCTCAGCCTCCCGAGTATCTGTGACTACAGGCATGCACCGCCACACCTGGCTAATTTTTGTATTTTTTAGTAGAGATGAGGTTTCACCATATTGGCCAGGCTGGTCTCGAACTCCTAACCTTAGGTGATCTGCCTGCTTTGGCTTCCCAAAATCTGGGAAGGGAAATGGCACTTTGGCCCTGTTGAGGTTTTTTTTTTATCTTATTTTGGGAGACGGAGTCTCACTCAGGCTGGAGTGCGAGTAGCACAGTCTCGGCTCACTGCAACCTCTACCTCCTAGGTTCAGGCAATTCTGCCTGAGCCTCCTGAGTAGCTGGGACTACAGGAGGTGTGTCCCACCATGCCCGGCTAAGTTTTTCTTTTTTCTTTCTTTTTTTTTTTTTTTGGGTAGATGTGGGATTTCACCATGTTGGCCAGGCTGATCTCCAAGTCCTGACTTCAATGATCCACCTGCCTCAGCCTCCTAAATTGCTGCAATTAACAAGCATGAGTTGAGCCATAGCACCTGGCCTCCTGTATTAGAATTCAGCAGTAAGGCATCTTTATGACCCTGAGAAGTAACTATGAAACCATTTACAGATGTTTGAAAGGGAAAAAAAGCAAAACCCAAAACTCGGAGGTTAAGATCCCACGAATAGTGATTATGTCTAAGCCAAGATAGAAAATCTGGTTTGATCCCTGTAGCAGCAGATGCTCACCCTGGATTTTTATGTGAATTCTCCCCAAAATTGTAATTGCTCGTAATTAATGCAAAAATTATGACCTCTGCTTTATATGCTTCAAGGTTTAAAAATGTGTTTATGTTTAGTATAAAGGTAATGAGTGCACACTGATTCTTCAAACACTGGGGTTGGCAGGGGCTGATCTTAGGTTGATACAATAAATGTAATTTTTTAACCTCCGAGAAGTCAAAGGCTGATATAGTAAAACACCTGTACATCTCTGACCTAGAATTCACTATTAAAATTTTGCCACATTTTCTTTATCCCCTTTCTCCACTCCCAGTGAATTTACTAAATAAGGATCATGACATTCACCTGTAATTACTTCAGTATGTATCTCTTAGGACCAAGGACTTTCCCACTCCTTAACCTACTCCAGTCATATTTTTGCTTCCCATCACCAGATCAGTTGTTTTAGGTCACCAAGCAGATTTTTAGTCTTTTTGTGCTGTACATGTTAGTGCAGCATGTGATGGTCAGTCTTTGACTCAATAGTCATCTTCATATCTCATTCCAGTCTTAGGACTTAAGATGTCTGGAAGCTCCTCTTCCCCTAAATTCAGTACTTCCCCTAAACTCAATATCCAGTTGCCAATTGTGCAGTTCAACTTTTATAAGTATCCCAAACTTGGGCATATTCAAACCATCACAGTGTATGACAGCTGTCTTCCTAATTGCTCAGGCCAAAATATCATTAGATTTTTATTTATTTTAATGCAGGCTCTTGCGATGTTGCCCAAAACCTAAGCCCCCCAAAGTGTTGGGGTTATAGACGTGAACCGCCATGTCCAACCAAAAATGTCATTTTGACTGATTCATTATGTACCCCACATCAGTTTATAAGATCTGTGGACTACTGTCTCAATACCTAGAATTCTGTCTGCTCTTTGCCATCACATTGGCCTATAAGACTTTAACTGATCTGGCCAGATGCAGTGGCTCATGCCTAAAATCCCAGCACTTTGGGAGACCGAGGCAGGCAGATCACCTGAGGTCAGGAGTTCAAAACCAGCCTGACCAACATGGTGAAACCCCATCTCTACTAAAAATACAAAAAATAAAAAATAGCCGGGCGTGGTGGCAGGCGCCTGTAATCCCAGCTACTTGGGAGGCTGCGGGCAGGAGAATCGCTTGAACCTGGGAGGCAGAGGTTACAGAGAGCCGAGACTGTGCCATTGCACTCCAGCCTGGGAAAGAAGAGTGAAACTCATCTCAAAAAAAAAAAAAAGACTGATTTTCCTTCACTTCTGACATCTTTTTCCATTCTATATGTTCTGGTCTGCTGGACCTAGGATCCTGGTAGAATTATAAATTCTAGGAGCCCAGGCCTAGTGAGGCAGAATTAGGGTTTGTGACCCAGGTGTCAGTTTCAACAAGCCCTCCAGTTAATTCTTACTCAAGTTTAGGAAACACACCTGTGAAACTTTATAATCTCTTGCATTTGGACCTTTCAACTTGCTGTTCTCTTCCAGATACTTGTACATAGATAGATGGCTCACCACTTTAGGTCTCTTCAAATGTAGCTTTATTAGTAGGGCTTTTCCTGATCACTCTAGAAAGCCCCTCGGCCTCGTCACTTGCCTTCTTTCTCTATCAAAGGGATGTACATTCACTTTTGTTTTCAGTCTTCCTATAGTGGTATGTGAGTTCCGCAACAGCAGAGGTTGTTTGGTCAGCATGCTGTATTTCCAGCACCTCTTTTCAGCCTTTCGTGGCCTTCATAAGACTAAAATTTATCATAATTTAGATGTCTTTTAGGGTTTGAACTGTTGGAATAAGATCTGTATTGTCATCTCACTAAAGATTTTGCAGGTGGAATTACATGTGAATGCTAGGTTTCTAATATTAAAATTCTGAAGTTACTTTATAATTTTTCTGTTTTAGGGTGTTGGTTTTTGTTTGTTTTTGTTGTTGTTGGTTTTTGAGAGAGTTTTGCTTTTGTCACCCAGCCTGGAAGTGCAATGGTGCATTCCCAGCTCACTGCAACCTCTGCTTCCTGGGTTCAAGCAATTCTCCCGTCTCAGCCTCCTGAGTAGCTGGGTTACAAGCATTTACCACCACGTGTGGCTAATTTTGTTTGTTTTGTTGTTGTTTGTTGAGTCTCACTTGGTGGCCCAGGCTGGAGTGCAGTGGCATGATCTCAACTCACTGCAGCCTCAGCCTCCCAGGTAGCTGGGATTACAGGCACGCACCACCACGCCCCGCTAATTTTTGTATTTTTAGTAGAGACAGGGTTTTACCATGTTGGCCAGGGTTGTCTGCCTGCCTCTGCCTCCCAAAGTGCTGGGATTGGGGACTTGAGCCACCACACCCAGCCTGAAGTTACTTTAGAAACAAATAGATTTGTGTATGACAGTTTATAAGACTGTCATGACAAAAGCAGAATGAATCGTTTTTTTCTTTTTTTTTTTTTTTTTTTTTTTTTGGAGTCTCGCTCTTGTTACCCAGGCTGGAGTGCAATGGCGCGATCTCGGCTCACCGCAACCTCCGTCTCCTGGGTTCAGGCAATTCTCTTGCCTCAGCCTCCTGAGCAGCTGGGATTACAGGCACGTGCCACCATGCCCAGCTAATTTTTTGTATTTTTAGTAGAGACGGGGTTTCACCGTGTTGACCAGGATGGTCTCGATCTGTTGACCTCGTGATCCACCCGCCTCGGCCTCCCAAAGTGCTGGGATTACAGGCTTGAGCCACCGCGCCCGGCCATGAATCGTATTTTTCAATAAAAAACATAATGAAGCACAGAAGAGGCTACAATAAGAATTATGCCATCTTGCCTTGGTTGGTAGGATATTAGTAAATATTTAAGCCAGGTTTGATGACTAAAGAGTAATTTCTAGAATTTTTTAAAAGTTAATCATTTCTTTGGGCATCCACTGCCTCAGGTGTGGGAAATGGTATTAAATGTTGGGCTTTCTCGTGTGTCTTGGTGTTTATTTAAAGCTTGGGAGTGTTTTTTTCTCATTTTTCTGCAGGTTGTTATCACTAGGCTAAAACTGGACAAAGACCGCAAAAAGATCCTTGAACGGAAAGCCAAATCTCGCCAAGTAGGAAAGGAAAAGGGCAAATACAAGGAAGAAACAATTGAGAAGATGCAGGAATAAAGTAACCTTATATACAAGCTTTGATTAAAACTTGAAATGAGGAGTCTGTTTTGTGTGGTGATTTAGGGCACTTCTTTATAGTGGGCAGCAGCATTTCAGGATATGTCGATAGCTAGGGGGGTCTCATTTAGAAGGCGGCCTGTAAGAAAACCTAGTTGGAAACACTTCCTCTTCTTGAACCTGTCTTTCAACTTTCTTCCTATGGATAGGCTGCTGTATGGTCAGACAGCCTATATTTTTTACCTTACTGCCTAAACGTTTGTATTGCCATTGGAAAGGAGGTCTTGCTTTCAATAGAAGCAGCTTCTGTGACTTCCTATAGCATCTAGATTACTTAGTGAGAGGCCTCAGGTTCAAGTTCTCTGATCTACCCATGGGGGCCCCCTTCACCTTGTTTTCTGCGCAAGTGCTGGTTGAGTGCCCTGAGACCAAAACCTAACAAATTTTTAGTTGAAATAATGAAATACTGATCTAAAATGCAGTTTTATCAGGATGGAGTGAGAACGTGTGAGGTGGCAGCAGTGTGTGTGCTCCCGCCATGCCTCGTTTTAAGGATCAAAGCAGCATACTCGTTACTTTGCAGCAATGTGGAAACGGCCCTAGTTGAGTCACTGGCCTGGCCAAAGTCACAGCTGCCGTCTAGGTGGACGCGCTATTCGGTGTTCCCAATGCTGTCCTGTCTGGGCGAAACCTGTAGCGGCCCTTTCTCGGTGTCGCCGGCTGATGGGGGAGGTGGTGGGGCGGGACTTCCGGGTGGCGTTGATCGGCTTCCGGCTGAGGGTTCCGGAGGTGTGGCTGCCCGCGGACATCTAGGTGAAGCGGGATCCAGACGCCGCTTCGTCTGGTGTGTCCTTTTCTCCATTGCCCGTCAGTCTCAGCCGTTCAGCCTTGATCTGGCGGGGCTCGGACGCGTGGATCCAGGCGGTGGGAGCGGTCTGCGATGTCAGGGTAGGAAGGCTGCACAAAGGAGGCGACGCCCCAGCCCGGTCCTCAGGAGTAAGTGGGCGTGCCCATGTGGTGGACTGTGCGGGGACCCTGTATTAGGTGCCTTATCTGCATTATCATTGAATCTTCATAGCAATCGGTTGTGATGGGTACTGGTCATCTCCCCGTGTTGTAGATGAGGAAACTGAGGCCCAAGTAACTGCTTTAGTCCGTAAATGGTAAGAGTCAGAAAGTGAGTTCCCAAGCGTAGACTCAGCCATACCGCTGCTATCTCTCTAATTGAAGACCTGCCTATAAGCGACATTTTAAACTAAATGTCCTTTGAACATCTTTTGTGCTCGGCTCTGTATTCGTGAGCCCTCCGAGGGAGTACAGGCAGGTAGAAGCCTCCGTCCCTACCTTCTAGGTTGTAAACATCTGAACTGGTCGACTAAAGATGCAAAGCAAAGTGCTCCAGTGAGTGATACAGGTTATTGAGAGAGGAAGGAGAGATGGCAAACAGCTGAAGTTACTAAATATGTCAGGGAGGAGGCTGATTTCAGCTGGCAGTGATTTGGAAGATCAATGCGAGGATATTCCAAGTCAGAAACAGCCAAGGCAAAGACTCACAGGTGGGTGAAGGGAGTAAACATGGCTTTGGAAGTATTTCCAGTTTTCTCTAACCAACTCGGTTATCACTTAGCCATCAGCACAGATCACACCAGGAAGCTAATTGATTTAGGGTCACATTTCTTTCATGTTGCTTTTGGAAAAGACACTGAAGCCTAGGCATCATAATGAGAGCCCGTAACTACAAAAAAAAAAAAAAAAATTAGCCTGGCCTGGTGACGCCTGTCTGTAGTCCCAGCTACTGGGGAGGCTGAGGTGGGAAGATGCCTTGACCCTGGGAGTTTGAGGCTGCAGTGAGCTGTGATCTTGCCACTGCCCTCCAGCCTGGGTGACAAAGTGAGACCCTATCTCAAAAAAAAAGAAAAAAAGATAATGAAAGCTTAGAAATCTGCAGGAGTGGGCAAATAAGATGAATAGGTTAGTAGGTCCCTTAGAGATTATGGGAAACAAGAGAGTCCAGGCTCCATCTAAAGCAGGGGTGTCCAATCTTTTGGCTTCCCTGCCACATTGGAAGAAGAATAATTGTCTTGGGCCTGAAATAAAATACCCCAACACTAAAGATAGCTGAGCTAAAAAAAAAAAATTGCAAAAATATTTTAAGAAAGTTTATGAATTTGTGTTGGGCTGCATTTAAAGGCATCCTGGGCTGCATGCAGCAAACAGGCCGCAGGTTGGACAAGCTTGATCCAAAGGAGGATGCCGCCTCTCCATTATAGCCAGTTATTGCCAGGCAACCATGCTGCCAGTGCAGCCAGAACTTCTTTTCAAGAAAGCCAGAAATTGAGATTTTTTTTATGTGAAATCTCCCAACCTGTAATTAGAGGTGAGTCATTCAAATTTTTTTAAATCACTAGATGGACCAACCAAAATAGGTCTATTAGACAATTGTGACCCTTGGACTATACTGTAGTATTTCATGGTATAGTAAGGACTGTATCTCTTACTAAACACTGAGATTTTGCATCTTTTGATTATAAATTGGTTCTAGCCTGTTGCCTTCATTCTTTTTTCTTTTCTTTAGAGACAGGATCTCATTATGTTGACTAGGTTGGTCGTGAACTCCTGGCCTCAAGCAATCCTCCCACCTTGGCCTCCCAAAGTGTTAGGATTACAGGTGTAAGCCACCATGCACAGTTGCCTTCATTCTTTTATAGAATGAAGATGAGGCTTTTCCTTCCATTGCAGTCCCCTGAGGGACTGAAATAGCAACCAACACAGTACTCAAGTTCTGAGAGATGTTGGTTTCAGAAAGGAATCTGGAAAGTGCTCTTCCTGGATTCCATTGAATACCTTGTGGTTGCAAGTCTGTTAGAACTAGTAGGACTGGCCGGGTACACTGGCTCATGCCTGTAATCCCAACATTTTGGGAGGCCAAGATGGGCAGATCACTTGAAGCCAGAAGTCAAGACCAGCCTAGCCAACATGGCAAAACCTCATCTCTACTGAAAATACAAAAATTAGCTGGGTGTGGTGGTGTACCCAGTGTTAAAAAAAAAAAAAATAGTAAGACCATAGGATGGTAATAGATATTCTTTGGGAAACAAAGTCCTGTGTCAATGATTTAATAGTACTGGTAGATGAAACAAAGTGAAATTCGTTTCTTTACTGCAGGACTTCTTAGAGCCTTTTTTTTTTTTTTTTTTTTTGAGTTGGTTTTGCTCTGTTGCCCATGCTGGGGTTCAGTGCCATGATCCACGCTAGTTGCCTCAATTTGCGCCTCCTGGGTTCAAAGAATTCTCCTGTCTCAGCTCCCTGAGTAGCTGGGACTACAGGCATGCACCACCTTGCCTGACTAATTTTTGTATTTTTAGTAGAGATGGGGTTTCAACATGTTGGCCAGGCTGGTCTCAAACTCCTAACCTCAGGTGATTTGCCCGCCTTGCCCTCCCAAAGTCCTGGATTACAGGTGTGAACCAGCATGCCCAGCCTCAGAGCCTTTGATACATCAGTTTGCAAAAGATCTTGAACACAGGCTTAGAGTAAAGAACATTTTGCAAATGTGCAATTTCTTCAATTCTGCAAGACGCAGTGCCTCATGCCTGTAATCCTAGCACTTTGGGAGGCTGAGGCAGGTGGATCAGTTGAGACCAGGAGTTTGAAACCAGCCTAGGCTTTCTGCAGCATGGCAAAACCCCATCTCTATCAAAAATACAAAAAACAAAAATGCATTTATTTTTTACATATTAAAATGTGAATGTGTCTGAATATATTTTCCTCTCAAAGTTGTCATTAAGTCAGTGGTTTGATAATTAGCAATGTCTTAGAATCAGGAGTATTCATGGTTAACCGGTAATGCTGAGGAAGGGAATTTGAAGCCCTTGTAGTAGAGGACCTTCAGGACTTGGAGGCAGGTCCAGCTTAACCGAGACTCCCACTCAGAGCTTTTAACAGTTTTCATCTTTCTCTGCTTCTCAGGATTCTGCCCTGCCCCTCAGCTCTGCATCTGACAGCTGGGATCTTGGGATCCTGTTTTCCTAAGCTTGCTGGAATTCCTGCAGTCCTCATGTGAACTCCCTTGACCTTATCACCATCCTGTCTTAGGGCTGTTCTAACTAAGGAATCCCAGTTTAGACAACTGAGTACCAAGTTCTCTTCCTAAGGAATTATCTGATCACAGTGGCATGTGGGCTCCATTTGGGGTATCTCTTTTCTGCATGATAATCTCCTGACATATCTCTGTGTACACAGACATAGTATTTCCATTGGAAACAGATCCTGCCAACCCTATTGAGAGCATCAAGCCTGACCTAGACACAGAAATTCCATTTGACCCAGCAATCCCATTACTGGGTATATATCCAAAGGATTATAAATCGTTCTACTATAAGGACACATGCACACGAATGTTCATTGCAGCACTGTTTACAATAGCAAAGACCTGGAACCAACCCAAATTCCCATCGATGATAGACTGGACAGGGAAAATGTGGCACATATACACCATGGAATACTATGCAGCCATCAAAAATGATGAGTTCGTGTCCTTTG